CAGAACTGGTCTATAAACTCCTAGCTCATTCATGACCTAGAGACCCACTTCCCCAACTAGGCCACCCCTCCTAAAGACTTTACAGTGCCACCAAACATCAGCATTAACTGGGGATTAGGCACTTTTACATTTAAATCATAACTCCATGACAAAGTGAAATATGCCACTATTTAGGGTGTGTGTGTGTGTGTGTGTCTGTGTGTGTTATCTCTGAAATATGATGTTTTGTATTAATCCTAGGAAGAGTTTGAAAGACCTAGTTTATATTGTGTGACTTTTTGTAGTATTTAATTGTACACAATTATGTCCATTTTACCTTTTTTAAGACTCTCCTTAAAATAGCACATATATTGCTTTCTTCTCTAGTAGTGGATTTTTTTATAGAGTTATAGAGTATGATTTTTTTAAACAAATGTATTCACATTAGTTTGCATATTTAGATATGGTTGTAAAGAGTTGAAATGTAGCTTATTTTTAGAAAATGGATATAAAATGTAGACAGTGTGGTATACACCCAAAAAAGCAGTGTTCACATTTCCTTTTAGGCACAAAATAAAGACATAAAAGTATACGAAGGTCCATGAATTCTAGAAAGCAACACTAACTAGGTCGAGAAATAAGCTGTTTCCATGCAGGCTGTGGCCAAGGAGAGAAGAAATGGAATTACTTTGCTAGAATCCATTGCCTTAGGCACACTGCCATGCCAGGATCTCTTCAGAACAGAACTGTGTTTTTCTCTCTGCTCTGGCTGGCCTTGAGATTGGAGGCAACAAGTGGTGGGCAGGATGAAGGGGTCAAGGTAGTTTCATTTTGAATTAGCATCAGCTCTTATTCAAACTTAGCAATTTCATAAATTTGGAGAATTTTAGAGCTAAAGGGAATTGTTTTTCTTTTTTCCTCTCACCTTTTCCTTCCTAACACACAAACACACACACACACACACACACACAACTGAAAATGCTTCTTATGAAGAATTACCTTTTTAATATGCCGTTGGAAGGCTCAGGGGTTCTTCCTCCTTCAACAGTACAGAAAGTGTATGCATGTAAGTGCTAGCAAACGGAAGAAGGGTCCTAGGACCCCAGAACACTCCTCAGACACCTGTGCTAGAACTTTACACACGTATGAGATCCTTTCCTCTTAGTTACAAATGCCTCCCACATCCATTTCTATAACTAAATATATCTTGAAGATAGCTTAGTAGATGACATCTAGATGAACAGACCTTGGTCTTCTTTCTGATGCTCAGGTGCCTAACTGTGCCAGCCAGAAGCGATAAGTAACATCAACCACAACTTTACACACGGACATACCGTTCAGTTATCTCTCTGAAGAAAGACCTCTTGCCAGTCTTATCTCAGCAGTTGCGTAGCTTTACTTCATCCACACCAACGGTTTTTCATTTAGACATAAGGTGTTTAAGGAGGTTTGGTCTTTGTAGCCAGTACTAAGCACATTCAAAGATGCTGAGACAAAAAATGGTTAGGGAGAAGAATTGAGACAAAGGAGTTCTGACTCTGAGTTTGGCTTGCTGGTTTTCAGCAAAAGCCAAACATAGCAGGAGACAGTGGACATGGGTGGCTCTGGGTGTGGTTCCTCAGTGTAGGGTGAAGACTTGCTCATGCTATTTTGCAAAGTGTGTTGTTACATTACTAATAATAATGTTAATTGGAACAGGACAAGAAGAGATGAATACTCAGATGCAGAGTTTGAAGGTACAGAAGGATACATGGTGAAAAATACCTGATCAACCTATCTACCTGGGGACGACCAGCCCCCTGCCCCCCACACACTTGAAGAAAATGAAAGCACTCCGTTCATAACTTTCCCTAACTCCAGAAAAAGTTGTATTGGAGATTATTGTTCCACATTATCTTTTTAGATGATTGAAACTTCAAGGCACATACCTAGTAACAGACTTGAAAGATAAAATGGTAGTGACAGCTTAGTTCCAACAACAGCAGAGAAGGAGAAGTACTAAGGAATCAATTTAATAAGATAAGTGTAAAAGTGTAGGAGTAGAGTTAGAGAGATGTCTCAGTGGTTAAGAGTACTGACTGCTCTTCCAGGGGATCCAGGTTTAGTTCCAAGCACCCACATGGCAGCTTACAACTATCTATAATTCCAGTTCCAGGGTACCTGAAACCCATGGCAAAACATAAATGCACATAAAATAAAAATAAATAAAATTTAGAAACCCACTCAAAAAAAGGTGTTGGAGGAAAATCTTAATGTACTCCTAAAGGTTACAGAACTAGGCCTTAGGAAATGGAGAGGCACCTCTCACATGATGATATTCCTGAGTATTACAGAGAACTTGATCTCTGAAAATTAATTCAGTTCCAATAAAACACCAGCAAACATCTGCCTCGAGCTGACCATCACAGAATTATTCAGGGCAGAAAACTACCAGTCCCTTTCCCACCTGGAAGCTATCTCAACATTCCCTTTCCAATGTTGAGATTATATCCTCCTTCCAACAGGAAGCAGCCCTCCTGAAACCACACTCCCCCCTTGTTTTTCTTTTTACCCTTCCAGAGTTGGGATATGTTGACCTCAGGTCTTCAGGAATTGAGTCAGGCTGTACAGGTGCAATATCCCTGAACCATAAAGAATGACTTAGCCCCAGCCTGACCATTCTGGGTCCAGCTGAGGAAACAATAAGCCCAGATACCAAAAACAACTCATTCTGCTCCCAATCAAATCACAAAAAATGGCTCTAACTTCCTGGTTGCTACCTAAGTGTGTGTGTGTGTGTGTGTGTGTGTGTGTGTGTGTGTGTGTGTGTGTGTCTCCCAGCCCCACTAAATGCACTCAACCTTTATCCCTTGGAAAGGTTGGGGCCACTCATTGTTCCAATAGAGTAGTCTCTGCCTGTTGAGATGGGGGAGGTAATTATGTTAAAGAATTAGGGCATATTTATCAAAACAAGATCCCAAGAGTTCACAGTGACTTAAATAGGGAACTCAGAAACTCATAGAGAGAAAACTAAAAGGCCACTATTGATAGCCATCCTAATTATAACCAATTCAAGCAAGAAATGAAAACCAAAAAGCAAAATTTGAGGACTCCTTAGTGATTACAAGGGGGGAATCGTAACTTTACAGACGAAATAGGATGCCAGGAACACTGATCCCACAGAGAGCAAATCAACACTGTGTCTCTGTCTGAGGGCACCAAGAAGCACCTACACCGCTTTCTTGCATGTGTGTACAAAGCTGTTGCCTGAGTCAAATTCTGATAAAGTATCAAATGAACACCAGTAGAGAGATTATTAAAAAAAAAAAAAAAACAACAACTGTTGGGCACAGCATGCATGCCACAGGTATTCAGTACATAGATGAAAACCAGAAGTGACTCTTCCATGTGCACATTTCCAGGGGACCACCAGCCTGCATGCTTTTACTTGAAAGTGTAGGACACAGGTAGTCTGGGTGTATGTTTAGTTTCAGGAGCAGTAATAAAAGAGGGTTAGCCAGGCTGTTGGAGTTTCATCAAGAAGGGTGGGGAGAGCCTGGATGGTTACATGTGACTGTAACCCCAGTTCCCCTCAGTTAGAAGAAGAGGCAGGAGGACAGAGAGCTGGAGGACGCTATCCTGGGCTACACAGTGATCACCTAGCTCAAAAAAAAAAAAAAAAAAATGGATGGGACATAGAGAACAATTTATGGGGTAGAAGAATATGCAAAGACCACAGTGGACATTTCTGTCTCCTCCTATACGATCTTCAACATATAGGGTAACAAGCTGCTCTTTAAAACAGTCTCTTTTGATTTTACAATGCTAAAATTTAAAGCTCTCCAACTACATTTTACTAAAGATGAAAAGTAGTTATCTACCTTCAAAGGAAAAAAAATAAGTATCTTAAGAGGGCAACACACATTTAAGGATAATTTTCCAAAAAAGGAAAAATTCTTTACTCTCACACAAATGTAAAAATGAACACATAATCAGATTTTTATTAAACTTAATGAAGAAGTTCAAGCCTGTATGACGAACAATACAACAAACGTCTGTCGATCGGCTGCATACGAGTCATTTAGTTATACCAGCAGTGGTTATTTTTTCAAGGCTATCATTCATCTGTAGCTTCTAAAGCTGTAAATAGCTCCCGTGGACTTGGCCTCAGCCTGAGAGGCTATGTTCTCTAGGTAGTGCAGTATTTTCTCCTCCACCTAACAGTTATCACTCATTTCTAGACATTGAGTAAGCAGTCTTCCGTGGGCACACCCCAAATAACTTGGAAATGAAATTTCACCATCAAAAAGGCCCTGTGCAGATGGACTGTGTGTTTGGCCCACTGCTGATGGAAAGGAAGTGGCTTCATGGGTGCATACTTTTCATAATGAATCTGAAACACCATCTGCATGGCTGGCTCTCTTCTCTATTTTCTCACCTGCTCCAAACTATGGCCTCGAGCTAGACACAACTTGCTAGTTACAACTCACACACTCGAGAAAGAGGGAGAGACAGAGACACAGATAGACACGGAGCACAGACACAGGGAGACAGAGAATGTGGAGCCAAGAGTCGAACCACTTACAAGGTGGTTTCTTCTGAGGGTAAAGGGGAGCGCTAATTATAGCGTTTAGAGGCCCTGGTTGCGGATAGATTTAATCTGCTCTGGGCTCTGGAAGCCCCAGCGGAGTTTGCAAGCTTGCTCTGTTCGGGCTCC